GGGAAGGGCACCCCAAAGGAAGGCGCCGCGCCATCTGATTCAGGAGAGCTCCTCCGAGCCCTCGCCCCCGCCGCCGCCGCCGCCCTCCACGCCGGCCCCGCCCCTGGCGCCCCGGCCAGCGCCGCGGTCGCGCCGCCTCTGCTGCGGCCCGCGCCGTCTGATGCCCAGCTTCAGGCGGCCGCGGCGGAGGTGCAATCGCTGCTGCTGGCCGGCCGCCGCGCCGACGCGCTGCGCGCCGCGTCAGAGGCGGCGCTCTGGCCGGTTGCGCTGCTGATCGCGCACAGCCTGGGGGAGCGGGCGCTCGCGGACGCAGCGGCGCAGATGGCCGAGTCGCAGATGCGCGCGGGCACGCCGCTGCGGACGGCCTGCCTGCTGATGGCCGGCCGCCCCGACCTCGCGGCTCAGCTGGGCGGCGGCGCCGACGCCGGCCGCGAGCCCAGCTTCGCAGGCGCCGGGGGCGGCTTCGGGGCGGCGGCGGCGCCGCCGCCGCCGTACGGCGGCGCGGCGCTGCCGGGTGTGTTCCAGCCGGGGACGCCCGTGAAAGGCGTCAGCAGTGGCGGCGGCGGCGGCGGGCTGGGGGACTGGCGGGAGCACTTGGCGATAGTGGCGGCCAACAGGGTCGCGGGGGACAGCGAGGTGCTGCTGCGGCTGGGGGACAGGCTCTGGGAGGAGGGCGGCCAGGTGGGCGCTGCCCGGGCGTGAGGGGGCCGATTGAAATTGCATGGCTGGGCAGGCGCGGGGAGCGGGGTTGCATGAGCAGGCGGGGCGGCGACGCGGGCGCCCGCGGCTATGTGTTCTGGTCTGCCGGCGACGGCAGTTCGGCCACTTGGACGTCGCCACAGCGCCGAATTGCCGAGCACCTCATCCCGCAGAGCGCCTCGTCCTCCGTGCCTCATAACAACCAAGCCCCTCCCCTCTCCACCCTGCCCACCCCGCGTCATCACCAACTCGCCGCCGCAGCCCGAGGCGGCCCACCTGTGCTACCTAGTCGCCGCGCTGCCCCCCGCGCCCCTCGGCGCCCCGGACGCCCGCTTGGTGCTGCTCGGGGCAGACCACCGCGCACACCCCCGTGCGCTGGGCGCCACGCTGGCGCCGCTGCTGCGGACCGAAGTTTACGAGTGGGCGCGCGCCATGGCGGGTGCGCTGAGCTGGCGGGGCGGGGCCGTGAGGGCGGCGCTCACGCGCAAGGGGGGGCGGGAGGAGGGAGGGGCGGAGAGGGGCCCGCGGGCTCGGTGGTCAGGGCGCAGCTGCGGTCTGCGGGCAGCTGCGGAGGCATGGTCGCCCGACCGGCTATGACACCGCGAGGCCCATAAGCTCGCAGCGCGCCACGCCCCTCGCAGCGCTCTCGCCCGCCCGCGCCGCAGCGCGCAGCCCCGCTTGCCGACGCAGCCCCCAATCCTCAACCCGCGCTCCCTCCCTGCAGGCGACGCGTCGCAGCCGTGGGTGTGCCTGCTGCCCTACAAGCTTGCCCTGGCCTCTGCCTGCGCCGACCTTGGGCTTATCCCTAAAGCAGTGCACTATGCAAACGCCGTCGACGCCGCGCTCCGCGCCCTCGGCGGCGGCGGCCGGCAGGGCACTCCGCCGGCGCTGGTGCCGCTCGCGGCAGCAGCCGAGCAGCTGCGGGACCGGCTGGCGGCGCACGCGGCGGCGCACCAGATCAAGGTGCCATCGAACCAGTCGGCTCTGGGGAAGCTGGGGAGGTTCCTGGATAAGACAATCAATAGCATCATGTGGGGAGCCGACGCGCCCGGCCCGGCCGCGGCGGCGGGGCCCGGCGGGGCCGCGAGTTCGTCGGCGGGCGCGTCTCCGGCGCCGTTCCTGGTGGGTGGCGGCGGCGGCGGCAGCGGCCCGCCGTCGGTCTCGGCGGCGCCGGGGAGCCCGTGGGGGGCAGCTGCGGCAGGCGCGCCGACGCGCAACCAAAGTGTCGGCGCGTTCTTCGGGCTGGGCGGCGGCGCGAGCAGCAGCGGCGGCGCGGGGCACTCGCGCAATACGTCCGTGGACTGGGGTGGCGGCGCGACGCACTACGCGGCCACGTCAGCGCCACCCCACCAGCAGCAGCAGCAGCACACGCACGGCTGGCCTGTGGCGCAGCCGCCGCAGCAGCAGCAGTCCGTACCCCCCCCTGCGCATGGCGGTGGCGGCGGCTGGCTGTCAGCAGTCGGTGGCTTGCTCGGCGGCGGCAAGCAGCCGGCCGCGGGCGGGGGCGGCGGCGGCGGGCCCGCCTCTGCGTCCGCCTCATTCTCTGGCGGAGGGCCCAAGGCGCCTGAAAAGGAGAAGGAAAAGGAGCCAGAGTTTTATTATGATGAGAAACTCAAGCGATGGGTCATCCCCGGGCAGGAGGATGCCGGGCCGGCCGCCCCCCCGCCGCCGCCCCCGATCTTCCCTGCTGTGCCGGCGCCGGCGCCCGCGCCCGCGCATGCGGCGGCGACGGGGGTGGCCGCGGCGCGCAGCTTCCCTGCCCCGCAGGTGCCGGCGATCCCGCACGCGCCGGCCCCGGGCGCGGGCGGGCTGCCGCCTCCCTTTGTCCCCGGCGCGCCCTCGGGTGCCGGCGGCGGCTTTGGCGGCGGCTACGGCTCCGCGTCTCCTTGGCAGCCGGTCGCGGCCGCGCCCGCGGCGCCTTCGTCGCCGCGTGTCCCCTCGGCGCCAAGCAGCAGCAGCCACCACCACTACCAGCAGCAGCAGCAGCAGCAGCAGCAGCAGCAGCTGCAGCAGCCGGTGCACACGCCGCCACCAACACGATTCGGCGGCGCCTCGGGCCCGCGTAGCGCTGGCAGTGCGTCCGGGTCCCCCTACCCTTCCTCGCCCGCCCACCAGCCCACACCATATTCAACGCCGGCGGGCGCCTTTGCCGCGGCCACGCCATCGCCGCCGTCGAGCCAGGCGGCGCGACAGCAGCAGCAGCAGCAGCAGCAGCAGCAGCAGCAGCAGCAGCAGCAGCAGGACGGGTTGCCGCCAGAGGGCCCGCCTGCGCCGCCGAAAGCCGCGTTAGGCACCTATCCAGGTGCGCCAGGCGCCCCCAGCGGCAGCCTCGCGCCTTACGGCGCAGCCGCCGGCTACTGCGTCCCCGAAAGCGGCGTCAGCGCCGCCAGCGCCGCCCCCGGTGTGGCCGTCTACGCGCCGCAGCAGGCGTCCGCCTCCGGCGGCGGTTACGGCGGGTACAGTAGCTACGGCTTCGGCGGCGGCCCCCAGCAGGGCGCGCCGCACGGCGGCGGCGGCGCGGCGTATGCCGGGGCGTACGCCGGCGCGGGTGGCTACGACGCGGCGGCGGCGGCTGCGGGCGGGCCTGCGCCTGTGCTGGAGGCTGCAGTGGATTATCAAGAACTGAGGGAGGTGCAGCTGTGAGCCACGCGGCAGTCACGCGCCACTATGTATGCTTCGGACAGGCAGCGGTTGTGCGCGGCGGGCGAACGGCTGCCTGCTGGGTCGCAGCCGAGTGGGGCGGTCTGGTCGACTGCGCTTCATGGGGCCCGTGGGCGGCGTGGCAGCCGCGCAGGCGCGACGGTCGGCTGGGCAAAGGGCATATGTTCAGTCCGCTTTTCTGGTTGGTAGCGAAGTAGGTTGAGCCAGTGGCCGCCGTCTCTTGTGGATCAGCTGACGAGAGCGGCAGCTGATCAGGCTTAGGATGGGTGATTACCGCCCTACTTAGCGCAGCAAGCTAGTAATGCATCCATGCCTATGGTCACTGCATCACTGTGCATGCATGCGGGCATGGCTGGGTACAAAGCAGCAAACAGCGAAAGAGCGTCTGACGCAAGACGAATGCAATAATTGAGAGCTTGACAGGATATGCAATTTTGCGTTCACCTTCAACAACGCTTAGTCGGGTGACACCAGCGTCGCACTCTCAGCTTTTGATGGCCAAGCAGACATTTGTGTTCTGTGGGCGGCGCTGCAACAGCCGCAGTCGCCAAACCACTGTCACTCAGGGCATGCGCCGCCGACGCGCCGACACTCCTCCTCTTGCGCCCGCTCAAGCGCGCCCGCGGCCGCCGCGAGCCGCGCAGCCATCTGCTCCCCGAGCCGCCCGGTGGTGCATGCGCCCAGGGCGAACGCGTAGCTGCAGCCGGCGCCGCGGTCTTGGGCGATCCGAGGCGCTGCCATCAGCTGCGTGCATGATGCAGCGCGGGCGCGGTGAATTAGCCGGGCAGGTGGAAGCCCCTTCCCCCAAACCCAGACAATTGCCAGCGGCGGTCCGGTGCACAACAAGGTTGATGACCAGGCGTGCATTGTGATGGCCACGCGAACACAAACACAATTTAGAACGGACGCGCAGTCTGTTGCATGGGAAGTGGAGGGCTGATGGGGCGTGCGGTGCGCCCTGTCGTGGCAAGAGATTCCTTTGGATGAGAGGCGCCGCAGCCACGCCGCGCCGCGAACCGCGGCACAACCCCACCTGGGCGAGGGAGCACGGCACGCCTGGCAGCGGCGAGTGCGCGCGGGCCACGGCCTGCCACAGCCGGTGGGCGTCGTGGCGCGAGGCGGGGCGGCGGCGCTGCTGCAGCATGACCTGGTCAAAGATGGCCAGGAGGGTCTGGCGGGGGCGGAGAGGGGAAGAGGGTAATAATTGCGTTAGCGGGACAGGAAGCATGGCAGCCGGACCCGGCAGCTTCCCAGCAGGGGTCCCGCACAAGGGAGAGAGGGCAGACGGGATCGGCAATGCCGGCCGCGCAGGCAGCTGCAAAGGTGCACGCTCGCACAACATGCAGCAGCCGTCACGGCTGCAGATCCAGGATGCGAACCCCGGCCCTGTGAACCCCGTCTTGGGGTGGGGGGGGGCGGGGTGGTCAGGGGTGGGGCTCACCAGTTGGTGGGCGGCAAGGGGGCAGCGCCAGGTGGCGCGCATGAGGGTCGACAACTTAGAGGCCAGCTCTGGGGGCACCAGCGCGCCGTCGCCCTGCCGCCTGTGACCAGAAC